ACAGGCGGGATTCAGGCTTTTGCTCCCACAATAGGACAAAAGAACACCCCTCCCAACCTCCTTCCCAAACTCTGTCCCCTTCCTTAAGGGATGGTTAAGGGCCAAGACCGCCTCACAGCCCAGTCTCAGGTTGGGGGAGCCAGAATGGGGGACAGGAAAGCAGAAGGCTGCAGTCAAGGTCACCTCCCACTGGTTCCAGGCACACGCTGCCCAATCTTGGCCACCCTCAGGCAACAGTTCTTCAGGCCTCTCTTCTAGCCCCAACAGTCAGTGGCACTGTTCCTCTCCTACATGACACAGTTCCTCCCACTGCCTTGAGAGAGGCAATGAAAATGAGGTACCCATTCCTACTACCAAGAAAAGCAAAGTATAAGCCAAGAGTATAAAGTCACAATAAACCACTTCTAACAAACTATCTCTGAGAATTAGAGGAGGGTGTTGGTACTTTTCATTCTGATGGGAAATATTTCTATTGTGAGCAACATTGGCTATTAATTATATTTGATTGTAATTTTTTTAAAGATATATTTATTTATGGGCCTCCCCTAGTGGCGCAGCGGTTGAGCACTGGGCTGCGAGGCTGCCCACAGCCTTTGCAGCGCCGGTTCGTTCCCCGAGCCGCCAGCGAGGGTCCCACCAAAAAATAAATAAATAAATAAATAAACTATTAAAAAAAAAAAAGATATATTTATTTATGCATGCAAGAGCTGGGGTACAGGCCATAGGTGCGAGATATGAGAGGATTCACCAGAGACAGAGTGGGGAACAGAAGAGGCAGACTGACTGAAATACACTGCTGAGGGGAGCAGCAGGTGAGAGACAGGAGAGGTCTGCTGCACCATGTGGGTTAGCTCTCTGGCTGGCCGGGGATTGAACTCATGCTGCAGAGGCTGGGATAGCTTCATAGTGCTGCAACTTAACCCCTTGCACCACCAGAGAGGCCCTGATTGTAATATTTATAGCTGGGTCTTTTAGGGGACTGTTTTCTATTTTGTGGGTCATGTACTACTTTGGAACTTGAGGGACCTCTGGAGATCTTCTGCTCCAACCCTTTCTTTAATAGCTGGGGAAATCCAGAGAAGGGAGGTCATTTTTCCAAGGTCACACAGCAATCAATTTAGCAGCAGGGCCAAGCCTGGAAATAAGGACACCAAGGGACAAGACTGCTTCCACTACTGTCATTACATTGCTGAACGACTTGCCTCTTGTTAAGGGATAAGACACCCTGTGACCGTCCCAAAGAAACTCATCTCACTCCAAGGATGTTAGAGTTCAGCCCGTGTCACTTCATGGGTGGTCAAGGAGGTGGAAATGGAATGAACTGCTCTGGCTTCTGGGCCTCGGAGCCAGACCTGGTCTTGGATGCTGCAGCTGCGAGAGGTGATAAGGGGCTGAGGAGGAGGGGTGTGAGGGGAGCAGAGGGCACAGTTGGTAGGAGAAGGCATCTCCTACCAGTTGTCCCCCAGCTGTCCCTCGCTTCTGATGCTACTGAACCACTAGGGGTGGGACTGGGAGTGGGGGCAATGGGCACATCCCATGCAAGGGAAAATCTCAGACTCCTAGAGACCAGGAGACATGTCAACCAGAGACACAGGTGGTGGGAGACAGTCGGAAGCCTGGTAGAAATTATTGTCTCTTGGGCTACTTAAGTGCTGCTAACTTAGTCCCAAGGTTTAAGTGTACTTTCTTTCCCTCTAATCAGAATGTGGACTTTAGGATGAGGGTTGGGTGGGAGAGATAACGCCAAGAGGCTCCCTCAGGCTAGGACTGGGGCCCAGTGATCCTCAAAGGCTCCCATTCTGTGTCCAAAGGGCACAGCTGCCTTCGGATCCAGGTAGACAGTCTTCATAACATGTCTTAAGACAAGCTCAAGACAGGAAACCCAGCCCCTTGGAGCTGTCTCATGGTCTGTGGTGTCGGGTCCCGGTCCTTCCAGGTACGGGTAGAGCAGAGGCTGATCTAGGGTGAACAGACTGTGGCAGGAAAGCAGAGCACCCCTGGTCCTAGTCACAACCTCCAAGATGCACATTTAACCTCAGTCACCCCACCCTGCCCTTCAGACCCTCCAATCTATCCCCTAAGCTAAAGAAGTAAGGTTAATGGTAGGTTGAGTAACTGGGAGTCAGAAGGCCAGGGTTCAAGTCCTGGCCTGTCACTCCCTCGCTGTGTAACATGGGACAAACCAATGCAGCTCTGTGGACTTTGCTGCTCTTATACTTGCTTAGATGAACCTGGGGCTGCAACCTCCCTGCTCATCCCCACACAGGCCAAGAAAGGAGGGCAATCCAGGAAGTAATCGGCACCCAGGCCTCTTCTCGGGGGAAGAGGCGCTTCTGCTTTGTGGGTCTGGGATCTCCCCACTTCTGACTCAGGTTTCCTCTATCAGTTCCGCAAGGAAAGGCAGACCCTGCCCCATCTTGCAGCCCAAGCCCATAACTCTGGACTCAACTCTACAGGCACACATGCATACTGCCCACCTGGAGCCCTGGTTCCAGAGGTGCTAAGGAAGGAGGCAGGTAAGGATCCCAGGATTTTTTTTGGGGGGGTGGTCGAGGCAGTCCAGAAGATGCAGAAATTCGGACCTCCCATCCCTCCTTTTAAGACATCTGCCAGCTCCACCCTGTCCTGCTGTCTCTTGTAAAGCCACCAGAATGGGAAGAAGGGGCGCAGCATCTGAGTCATCCACCCAGCTGTCCTGACTGGGGTGACACCCAGCCCTAAGCCGGGACCCCAAGCAGGCCTTCCCTGGTGCTTTCTACCCTCTCACTCGCCCCACAGTTCAGTGTCCAGATCCTCAGGCTCTAGAAGAGAGAGAAAGGGTGTTTGTGTGTTTGGGGTAAGGGTGGCATTCTGCTTGGAGCCCATAACTCAGCCCAACAACAGGGAGCCCCAAACCCCTGGGTATGGTCAAGGTATCCAGGCTGGGCCAGGGCATGCCACGGGCCCTTATAGACTACTCTACATCCCAACCCAAGCCTGGCCCTGAACTCTGAGCTCCAATTAAACATTAAACCAGACAACTTCTCTCTAGGCTTTAGTGGGAGGATTTAGAACAATGCCTTTCTTCCTCTCCGAAGTTCTTCATTCTCTTTTCCACATCATCCAAAACACAGCAGAAACAAAAGGGAACAACAACTCTGGGCTACTCCCACGGGGGACACAGAGGGAACTGACACCCCAGTCCAAGCCCCCTGTCTCTATCAGCTAGGATTCAGGTGTGCAACCCCACCCCCCTTTTCCGGAAGCCCAACCTCCCGGTTTAGGATCAGTGGGGGAGAAGAGAGGCAGGTGGCTAAATATAACAAGCTCACACAGCACCCCCGCCATGCCCCATGTGCGCACGCCTGCCTGGCGTCCCAGGCCTGGACAGCTGCACCAGGAGCCTCAGGAGAGAGTCTGGGGTGGCAGGGTTAGCAAGAGACCATAGACACCACTTGTCCTGTTCCCCTATCAATGTCTTCCCTAGAAAATAATCTGCTAAAAATGTCCTTCACAGGGACCTGCAGAGGGGGCTCTGGCAGTTGAATGGACTGGCTTAGAACACGAATTCTTCATGGAGCTACCCTTACTTGCCTACTGTCTGTCCCGCTGAGTGTTCATGTCACTAGTGGAAAAGGACATCCCTTTCAACAGAAATAAAAGTCTGCTTGTCTCGCCACACAATTTCCATTTACTCTTCACAAGGCGATAGATCTATCACACTTACTATTTGGGGGGCTGAGGCCTAGAGAAGGGGTAAGAAAGAACACAGAATACACAGAAGTCCTGCGAAGAGCGTGGATTTAGAGAAGAGAGAAGGCAAGAGAGGGGAGCCATAAACCCACAGAATCCTAGCACTGTATGTGCTCTTTGACCGTGTCTTCATTGAGAAAAGGGGGAAAGAGGGAAAGAAACCAAAGTATTGGGGGCCTAAATGTTCAGACTCCATTCCAAAGAGCTTTTTAGAAAAGAGGGTGGAGTCAAGTAGGGTGGGGTTGGGTGGGGCAGGAATGGGTGATAGAGGAGTGGCCTGAAGCTTCCAACGGCTGGATTTCAAAAATGTCACCGTATTCCAGCAGTTGAATAAGGCAAAGATCAAAAAACGACGGTGGTGGAGAGGGCGGGCCTGAGAGAAGACTGCTTGGCATGGCTGGGAAAATGAAAGTGGTTCACCCCAAGGAGGGAGACAGGGATGGTCAGAGCCCCCAGCCCTCCAAGACACCAGGCAGAGGGCCAAGAGGAGGTAGGCGCCAGACCTGGACATAACACAACTTCCTGAACCCAAAGCCTCTGTCCTCTCCCTCCCTCCCTCCTTTGCATTCCAGGGCCAAGCAGGCCAAGGGCTGTGGGAGCTGCGGGGGAGCCACTCTCCAGGAGCTGTTTGGTGGGTCTGTCACAGTCTAGGGAAGGTCCCAGACAGGCAAAGAGGAAGGGAGAGTTTCCCAGCTACTAGAAAGACCCTAGAAAGGGTCTTGCCTAAGGGGCTACCTCCGAAAACAGAGTCACCTGGATCCGGTAACCTCTCCCCAGCAGTAAGGAACATCGCCCGGCTTGGGAGGTCTGAGTTCTGTTCAGAACCCGGTTGGGCAAAGTTGGCACAGTGCCAAGACTGCCAAGAAAGTTCTAACAGGATCCTTTCACCCACTCCAAAGTGTCCCGGGTGCCCAGATTTCCGCGACCTGGCAGAGCCAGTTCTGCTCTGCTCAAGCCCCTCCCCTAGGCTCCAGAGGTTGGCGAACCCCACCTTGACAGAATGTGGGCTTGCCACCAGCCCCGACCTGGCCTCATCGCCCCCACCGTTCCTTACATACCCCGCCCTCTCCTAGAGACCCCCTCCCTTCTCTGTCCGATCCTGACAATTCCCCTTGGCACTGCCAGTCACCCGCTGGGGGCAGTTCCGGGGCGGGAGGGGACGCTCTGGCAAAGTTAGGCGCCAGGATGGAGCCCGGCAGGGGCGACCGGCTCCCCGCCCCCGGCCCCTCCGCTGCCCGCCCTGCACGCAGCCACCTGGGCGCACTCACCGCGCTTTGAGCTCCTTAAACTCCTCGCGCACTTTGCTCAGCTCCAGCTGCAGGCGGGCGCGCTCCTTGGCCACCGAGTCGAGGGTCTTGCGGGCATCCCCGAGCTCGGCCTCGTAGGCGGCCTTGATCCCGGACACCTCACGGCTGACCACCTCCTCTGACTCGGTGATGCGAAGGCGCAGACCTGCGTTCTCGGTCTCCAGCGAGCGCACACGGTCGATGTAGACCGCCAGCCGGTCATTGAGCTCCTGCAGGTCCTCCTTCTCCTGCAGCCGGGTGATGCGGGTGGGCGACAGCGGGGTGGAGCTGGACTGCGCCCCGCTACGGGTGGCGCGCCGCTGGGACGGGGTCTCCATGGCCGGCAGGGTGGCAGCGCTGCCCTGGGGGCAGGGGTCCCGGGGTGGGCGCGGAACTCGGGCCGAGGGAGAGACTGCGCGGGGTCGGAGCGCGCCGGCCGGCTGGCTCGCGGCTCACTCCTGGCGGGCGTGGGGACCCGGGCCGGGCGCTGGCTGACCTCGGGATCTGGGCTGGCCCAAGAGTGGCTGCGGCGCTCCCGCGAACACTGAGTCACCGGCGCCGGGGCAAGGGCTCTAATAGGTCTAGGCGGTGGGAGGCGGGGCCATTGCTCTTAAAGGGACCACGCGCCCCCAGAGGTCGGGGAGGGAGGCGTGAGGAGGGGAGAGAACCTCAGGCTTCACCCGAGTCAGGCCCCACCCTCTCCTGTGCACCCCGGTCCGCTCTGGCCTTCGCGGCAGCTGGGGTTCCTACCAGCTCAGCGCTCCCAGCTGCAAGTTTGCCCCACTGCCACAGATCTTCTGGGGTAAAGGCAGAGCCCAGGGGGTGAGGGTGGATGGGCAAAGGGCACCGGTGAGAGAGAAAGGGGGTATAAAGCAAGGGAGGGAGCTAGGCAGGCAGATCCAGGAGTGTAGGGGGAGGACTGAGGCTGATGCCCATCAGGGTGACTCACACTTCTTCCAACGCTGGCTCCCCCTTTCCTCCCCATAGTAATAGTGAGTCATTCTTACCCCCCCCCAACATGTGGGCAGCCCAATGAAAGCTGAATCTCATTATGCCAGGGTGGGGTGAGGAAGAATGCCTGGGTTCCCTGGGGGGCTGGGAGGGCAGGCCCAAGCAAAGTTCTGAATCCTGAGTTACTTTGCACCCTCAACTTGGGGGCAGGGATCGGGAGTTTGAGTTCTCTCTTTTCCTATCTTTGCTCCAATTTATCTCTCTTCAAAATCAAGCATTTGGGTGTTAGACCCAAGCAACAAGCCACAGGCCCCTAAAGAAGGTCAGGAATGGGACCCAGGCCCTGCTCTCTCTCCTGTACTCCCTTCCTTTGGACCCAAGCAATTGGAAAAAGAAGTTGCTTAGCTCCTCTCTCATCAGTACCTTTCTCTCCTTTACCCCACCCTGCCAACTCCAGGACTGTACTTATTTTTTTCTAGGACTGTACTTATTTTAATGGATAATCTAAAACAGACACCAGAGCTATATGTGCATTCATCATGTTGCCAGGACACCAGTCCCACATTTTTGTGGTTCCCAAAGGGGCCTATAAGGGGGAGAAGGGCAGGAGGCTAGACAGCCAATGTTGGGTCTCCATCCTGGTTTCAGCCAGAAAGGTGAGGGGGGGCAGGGAGAGCAAAGACCCCCCCAACCTGGCTAGCTGCAAAGGCCAGCACAACACTTATCTGTACATTCCACTCAGGCCAGATCCATTCCACTCACACCAAGCTGGCTTGGCAATTGGCTTCTGAGGAAGGAGGGGCCAGGTCCTGTCACAAAACAGGTCCCCAGGCTTTCCCAGTCAGGATCAGGTGCCTTCATCCTCAGCTTCACCCTCTGATCAGAATTCCACTCCAGGATGCTAATCCTGGCCTTGACTCACACCCATCTCATCTGAGAATGGCAGCACTGATGCTCCAGAATCTGTGTGCTCTCATGTCTGATCCCTGGGCTGTCCATAGCTTATGAGGAACCTGGGAAATTAAATTATGTTGCCAACTCCCACAGCTCCAGGATGACAGGGTTTCCAGAACACATGAGGGAAGCAGAGCTGGACAGGTCCTCCATTCTGGACCCTGAGTTGGCCTCAGAAGGCAAGGGGCTGGGGTGCGATTAAGGCAGGGACTCTTGAGTGTTCAGGGAGGGACTGGAGAGGATGCTGAGGTTCTCACATCGCTGAGGGTGACTGGGCAGTGTGGTGAGCATCCAGAACATGGTGTCCCCTCCCTGCAGCCCTCTTTCCCTGGAGTCTGCCCACCCTCAGAGTCCCAGGAAAAAAAAAAATTGTATTGCTTCTCCCTCTTCTGTTCCCCAAACCAGAGCAGAGGAGGGGTGGGTGAAACGTGAGGGACGGGCTCATGTTGTTCCCACTGTCTCAGCTCCCCCCTGGCACAGAGTCCCCCCTCTACCCCACCCAGTCCCCGCCTGGCCTGGCTTCCCTTCCTGGCTAGGGAAACAAAACCACACTTAACCCTTCCTATCCTGGACCTCCCCATTTTTGGTGGAAAGAAGCAAGAGAAAGGAGGGGGATTTCATTCCAAATTTCCCTCTAGGTTCTTTTCAGAGAGCCCCCCACATACACCACTCCCACCATCACCACACCACCAAAATGGCCACAAACGCAGTCTAATCTTCAAAGTGGGCCCTTATCCTGAATGTTCAATCCTAACTATAGACTCCAAATGTTCTCCCCTGCAAGGGCATGTAGATCAGTTTCAGAAGAAGCAGAAGAGGGCAGGGAGGCAGGTCCAGAGGAATCCTACTGGAGTTGGGGGGGAGGGGTGGCAGGGCTGGGAGGAACCCAGGTCCCTATCCCTGTCTCTCTCACTTGCTATGATGATGGATTTATTGCTTCTCGGCCTTTTGGCTAAGATCAAGTGCTATGATGACAGATTTGCTACTGAATTCTCTGGGCCTCTGTTTCCTCACCTGTCACATGGGCAGAGTGAAGACTGACTACTATGCTTGCTCTCAAGAGCAATGTCCACTGGCAGGAAAACAGGGAAAGGCAAAACCAGCACAAGTGGTTAAAGAGCAGCAAAGGACCGAACTGGATAATGAATTCCAAAAGCCCAGGAGCTAGAGCATAGACAACTCATATCAATATACAGCGGTTGAGGGCCTCCCTGGTGGAGCAAGGGGTTAAGCGGCAGCACTCTGAGGCTGTCTGCAGCCACTGCAGCACAAGTTCAATCCCCAGCCAGGGAGGTGACCCACATGGCTCATCAGACCTCTCCTGTCTCACCCACTGCTCCCCTCAGCAGTGTATTTCAGTGCATCTGCCTGTTCTGTTTCCCACTCTGTGTCTAGTGAATCCTCTCACCCCCTACATCTCTGGTCTGTACCCCAGTTCTTGTATTCATAAATAAATAAATCTTAAAAAAAATACAGTGGCTGAGTTCATGGGGTGGTTTGGGTAGTGGAAGGGACACTTGTCTTGAAGACCAATGAACTTTAGAGGGGGTCCTCTGTATTCCAGGACCATCCTAGTCTTTCTCCTAATCCTTCCTCCCAAACATGTTGTGAGGGACAGGAGGTATCAAGTCTTGGTCATCTGTGTCCCTAGCACCTACCCCAGTGCCCGGCACACAGATGTGCTTGGTGTTTCTTAAATGAATAAATGTCTTTTTCAGCCTCAGTTTCCTTAACTGTAAAATGAAGATGCTGCAATAAACTGCAGAGTTGCAATAAGGAACAAACATTTGAAAGGAGGTTTTTTTTGGAGGAGGGAGATTTAGAGGCTTCGCAGAAATGCCTTTTACATAGATACTGAATTCACTTGTTCAACAAATATTTCTAGAACACCTACTATGTGCCAGGCACTGTTCTAGATACCAAGGATACAGCAGTAACTAAAACAAAATCCCTACTCTCATGAAGCTGACATTCTGTTGGAGGGTAATAGTCAATAAATAAAGGACAAAAATCATAGTTTGTTAAAAGGTGGTTAAATACTATGGAAATATAAAGCAAGGGCCTCCCTGGTGGTACAAGGGGTAGTCTCAGTACTATCAAACTATCTGCAACCACCGCAGCAAGAGTTTGATCCCCAGCCAGGGAGCTGACCCACATGGCACAGCAGACCTCTCCTGTTTCACCCACTGCTACCCCAGCAGTGTATTTTAGTCAATCTGCCTGTTCTGCTCCCCATTTTGTCCCTGGTGAATCCTCACCCCCCAGCACCTCTGGCCAACACCCCAGCATAAATATATACTGGGGTGCATAAATAAATAAATTTTGTATACATAAATAAATAAATCTTAAAAAGTAATAAAAATATAAAGTGGGACAAAGCTCAACAGTGACTCACTTATACTTTTATACTCTTTACAGTTGTGTTTTCACATATATTCTCAACGTGGTCTACAAAGCCAGCTCGTGGGTTGGAGATTATGTCCCTGTTTTGCAGCTGAGGCTGACTTTCCCCAAACTAGACAATTACAGGCCCAGGTAGGCAGCCTGGTCCAAATACAGGATAGTGATACTATCTTATGTCACTCTGTCAGAAAGCATGGGAGGGACTTATGGGAAATGCTGACCAGGAGAGCAGGTACAGCTTGGCCTGCTGAGGGGTGCAGGGAGCCACTAGAGCTGAGGTGGGAAAGTGTGGGAGGAGGGCAGCACTGAGAAGTGGGAGGTGGAGGTAGGGACCTGGAGCTAGTAGGGGGTCTGAGGGAGAGCATTCTGGCCACTTGATAAGGCGGGGATCATGAAGGAGAGAAGGAAGACTTGGAGACCAACAAGGAAAGAGTCAGAGGCCCTGGCCTTGGCCAGAGGCAAAGTAAACAGAGTGGGCTCAGAGGCAGAAACCAGGAGGGATTCCAGATGTAGACTCATAGTCATCCTTGCAGGGAATATCATGCAGTACCCACGATGATGATTAGGTACTTGGTTTTTACATTACCTTGTTGAAACTTACAATAATTCTACACAGTAGATATTATTATTTGCCCTGTTTTGCATATGAGGAAACTGAAGCCCAGGGAAGTTAAATTATTAATTCAGGGCCAGGTTTCTCAACTTGGCACTACTGACATTTTAGGCTAGATAATTCTTTGTTATAGGGGGAGGTTCTGTGTACTATGGGGTGTTTCACAGCATTCCTGACCTCTACCTAGTAAATGTCAGTAGCATCTCCACCTCCCCCCGTTATGACAATCCAAAATGTCTTCAGACATTTTTGACAGATATTCTTATGGGCTCAAATCTTCCCCATTTGAGAATCCCTTCTCTAAGGCCATATGGCTCATAACAAAACTGGAATTTTCATACAGGTTGGCCTGGCTCTTAATGCTAAGATCTAGCAGGCTATAATTCTAGACAGATGGGAGTAGGAACAAAGAGGATTCAAATGGATTCCCCACAGGAGTGGAAAGGGGTGACTTTGGAGAGCCTAGGAAATGGGCAAGTGATTTAGAGAGTCAAGGCCAGGTTTGGGAATCCCTTTATAGTGAGTTCTTCGGGAGGGTCCCTGTCTTAGTCATTCTATGATCACAGGGTCTGGCATTAAGCAGTTGTTCAAGTGCTGAGTCACTCCTGCACAGGTGATTGTTATAACCTTGACTGGAAGGACTGGCCTATTCTTTAAGTGGCTGCTATGTACCAGGCACCTGGCTAGGCCTGGGGGGAGGTCATCCCATTAATCTTCACCTAAGTCAGATGAGGTATGTATTATTATCTGCATTTTAAATGTCAAGAACCCAAAACATGAGAGGTTGAGTAATGGGCCTAGTACAGCACACCCAGACTCAGCAAGAAGGAAGGATGCAGGCTCAGAGAAATTAGCTAAAGCCCTGAGAGAAGTGAGTGACAGCTCCTTGACAGTCATTTATGAAGCCAGAGAAACCCTCACTCCAATGAAGTCTCACCCAAAAGCCCAATATAACTAAACAACAGAGGCAAAAGTCTCTACCTGTTGATTTGCGGGGCTCCTCCTCTGAGACTCCCAGAGCTCTGGGGAATAAATCCCACTCTCTCTCTTCTGAGGCCAGGGAAGGAAAGATTTGCCCAAGGCCAGTCGGGCCTGCCCAGAACCCCCAAGGTAGTACTCTGACCCCATCTCATGCTAACTCAGTAGATAAGTCATCACTCTGGACAGATTTTTTTTTTTGAAGATTTATTTTCTTATGCATATAAGAACTGCGGTACAGGCCAGAGGTGTGTGGGGTGAGAGGATTCACCAGAGACAGAGTGGGGAACAGAACAGGCAGATTGACAGAAGTACACTGCTGAGGGGAGCAGTGGGCAAGTCAGGAGAGGTCTGCTGCGCCATGTGTGTAGCTCCCTGGCCAGGGATCAAACTCGTGCTGCAGTGGCTGTGGCTAGCTTCATAGGTTGTGTCTTAACACCTTGCGCCACCAGGGAGGCCCTGGACAGATTTTTTGAGGGGCTCATCCACCTCAAAGGTGTGTGAAGCCAGAGCCTGGCTATCCCCTCTCACTGCTCAGCCGGGCAGGAAGGGGCAGCTGGATACTGGATAGAGAACCAATCGCTCTCACCTCACACCTGGACAGGTCTCCTTAGTGACAACCCTTTCACAATCAAAATTACTAGCTTAACCTCCTCAAATCTCTTTGGGTTGCACACAGCAAGCAGCATTATTCCCATTACACAGATGAGGAGATAGAGGCTTAGGCAGGTTAACTGATTAGCTCAAGGCCACACAAGTGAGTGACAAGTGACAAAGCAGGCCACAAACCTCAGGGGTCTGCTTCCAGGTTAACTGCCTCCTGCCTCTTTTCCTCCCAGACCCCAAGGCGCCCAAACCAATAGCAAAATCCAAAGTGGGCCAGGGAGCTCCTCCCCAGGATTCCAAACCACCTCCCCAGCCAGCCGGGCCTAGATGGCTGCCCTGACGCTGTGTCTCAGTCTGTGTCTCAGGCGAGGGCAGCTGTCACAACACACACCGCCCTACACCACGCGACCAGGAGACACACCAGGCCTGTGCCGGTCAGCAGAAACTCAGCGCAGCCCCTCCAAGCTTGCCAGCCCGCAGCTCCCGCCTCGCCCCGCCCCGCCCCGCCCGGGTGGGCAGGGGCAGGGACGTGGGGACTAATGGTCCCAGGGCTCCCTGGGGTCCACGGGGCTGGCAGCCAACCGACTGGGCGGCCCCAGGCAGGGTTGCCAGGCCCCCGGCCGGGAGGCGGGCAGCTGCCAGCCGGGCCAAGCTGACGCAGGCGCCTGCGTGTGGGCGGCTGCAAGCGAGTCTGTGTGTGTCTGTGTGTGTGGTTGCCGGGGCCTCCCCAACCTCCTCAATGGGGTTTCCTCTTCCTGTTGCCAAGGTAACAAACAGAAGCGCCACAACTCCTGAACGAGAGCTGGAGAAAAGGGTCCTACACACTTCCAAGAAGTCAGGCAGAAAAGGATATCCGCTCTCCCTCACACCCATCCAGATACCCACCAAACCTCTGTGGGGCCTGAACCAAGAGTGACCAAGAGCCCTGAGTTTCTTAGGACAAGGGACTTCCACTGCTAAGACCAGAACAGCCCCTAGCAAATCAGGATAATGCGTCACCCTACATGAAGTTTATCCAATTTCTGTGAGGACACCCTCCAATTTTTGTGAGGACGCCCTCTAAAAAAATGTGAAAACATCTACAAATTTTACACAGACAGATGACCATGGGCAGGAAATACCCTCTCAAGGGACTTGCAGGGGCCTGTGCAACTGAGGAGCCCTGAAGCTGCACCTCATTAGCTTTATGATAAATTGGCCCCTGCCCCTGCAGCCCCCAAGTTCCCTAGAGCCCCCAGTTCCCTTTGAAGCTATCCCCTGGCACTCAGGCTAGGGGCAGTCAATAGAGCAAATGAATTCTGGCAAAGAGGGTGGTGATTCATGTGCAGATTTCTTGATGGGAGGAGTGGAGCAAAGGGCTCTTCAGGAGAAGCGACTGGGACTGCCAGGTGGGGCAGGTGGATGGCAATGTTTCTATGGCCTCCAGGAGCTCCTGGAGGGGGCCCTGTGGGATGGGAAAGGTCTGCCTTGGGCCAGTGCTTCATCGTTCATTGTCTAGAAGCTAGAACTTTAGAGCTGGGGGAGTCTTCGGGAATCATGAGGACTAATCCCTTAATTTTAAACCAGGCTTGGTCCAAGTCCTCAGAGCCCTGTCCTCAGCCCACTGCCCCACCCCAGAGCAGCATCCTTTGCCTAGTAAGTCCACAGCTTACAGGGCATCCTGAGAACCCACTTCATTTTGGTCCTTGACCCCTTAAAGGCTCTTTACTACAGGGACAGGTAGAGGGGAAGCCACTGAGGAGAGGTGGGGCAGCAGGCCTACAGGGAGGGACAGGATGCAGGCTGAGGCTCCTGTGCTCTCAGGCTGCCCAGGGAGGGGCTGAGGGGGCATCTGTTTCCTCTTGGCCATGGTCCCCTCAATCCTACCCCCCAAGGAGGTGAAAATGGTGCTGGCTTCCTGAAGCAAAGCTTCCTGGTTTGAGGACATGAGAGGACAAGTTGTCCATCAAAACATCCCATATCCTCTCACCTCTCTCCCCCTGGAGCGTAGGGAGCTGAACTGTGGTTTAGGGGCAGGGGTATATTTCTCCCCCATGGGGCCCAATGAATACCAACAAAGTAACCAGAGCCATGGGCAGGCTGGTTCCATCACAGGGGGTGTGATAGGGATATGAGAGACAAGGGAGCTCAAGGGTGCGGCTTCAGGTATCTTAGTGGATCAGGGTGGAGAAAGAAATCAGACAAGTTGAGTATCAGGGTAAGTGGGGATGACAGGAGAGATGTGTGGAGAAAGGGAGGAGGTCAAGAGGAAAGCTACCATGCAGAAGAACTGAGCTTTGACGTGATGGGAGTGGCAGTCACATCTGGAGTCCAGGCCAGGGGGCCCTGGAGTGGGGAGTTGGGCAGAGAAGAGGCCCAGGAATTGAGGAGAGGGGCAGCTGCCCAGGCTGCCGCCAGAGCTCCAACCCTAGATCCTGGTGGGGCAAATATTTACCCAGCAACTGTTGCTAAGCTGGGAGGAAGGAGGAGGGAGGCCAGTAGCTAGAGGGCCTTTTAGGCTCCTCCCCATCCCTCACAAAGGACAGCTTAGAGAGGGTGAGCCCAGCCCCTTAGCCCCTTAGAGGGGTTCCCTTAGCCCCCCTTAGCCCTCCACCCCCACCATGCAGGCTCAGCTTTATGCACACATGTTTTGAGGTCACCTCTACCCACCCCTCCAACCCCAAGATGGCAACAGGTCTGAGGGCTGAGCCAGGGAGAACTGAATCCCTGCATTGCCATGCTGCCAGGTCTTCCACCAACAGCTGAGAGGAGGGTGTGTTCAAACCTTGCAAATTTCCCCCTTCCGTTCTGGGCTGGAAGGCAGGTGGAAGATGGAATCAAAGTGTTCAGGGACAGGGCCTCCCTGGTAGCACAGGGGTTAAAGACAGCGCTATCAAGCTATCTACAGCCACTGCAGCACGAGTTCGATACTGGGTCGGCCAGGGAGAAACCCACATGGCGGGCCTCTCCTGATGGCGCAGGCGGTTGAGCACGGCGCTGTGAAGCTGTCCGCAGTCTCTGCGGGTCCCACATGGCGCATCAGACCTCTCCTGTCTCGCCCACTGCTCCCCTCAGCAGTGTATTTCATCAGTTTGCCTGTTCTGCTCCCCACTCTGTCTCTGGTGAATCCTCTCACCCACCCGCGCATCTGGCCTGTACCCTGGTTCTTGTATAAAATAAATAAATAAATCTTAAAACAAAAAAGAAAAAAGAACCCCACATGCACAGCTGACCTCTCTGCCTCACCCGCTGCTCCCCTCACCAGTGTATTTCAGTAGATCTTCCTGTTCTATTCCCCACTCTGTCTCTGGTGAATCCTCTCACCCCCCACACCTCTGGCCTGTACCCCAGCTCTTGTATGAATAAATAAATCTTTTCAAAGTGTTCAGGGCCAGAGGCTGGACGAGAGGATGAGGAGGCTAAAATAAATAACTCAGAGGCTATAAAGAGGGAGGTGAGGGGAGCTGATAGTCCCAGAGATGTGGGGTCCCTGCTCTGGCTCCTGGGCAGATAAGGGGAAGGACAGATGAGGGGGAGGGTGAATGTAAATAGAGCCAGATGTGGCCCATGCCATGTGGGCTGTGGCTGGCATGGGCACAGTGGGGGCAGGATGCGCAACTGTTGCCAGGAAGTATTAGTCAGAAGTTGAGGGGGGGCAGAAGTAAGGGTGAGGGAGAGCTAGTCCAAGACCCCCAAGAAAGCAGATGGCAGTTTTCAGAGGGTGAAAGGGCTCAGGATGCCCTGTCCACGCCCTCCTTCACCATCCTCAAGTTTCCCACCCATTTTCCAGGTGGAGCCTCAGTTTGCATATGCAAAACAAAGGGGGATTCTAACACCCCTTCCCAGGGCACAAGCTATAGGTTCCTCCTTACCCACCTTGTCAGGGTGAGGTCCCTTTTCTGCAGGGCTTCCTCCCTGGGGCTCGATAGGTTCTCACCCTTGTTCACAGATCTTCTGGAAATTCGGGTGCAGAAATGGGTTGCAGGGGCCCAAAGAGAGCAGGTTGCTAGAGCCCAGACTCCCCATTGCTGATGCAGGTTCTCAAGGGTTGGAGGCTTGGCTTGGGTGGCTGCAGGCCCCATGGGTCCACTCTGAAATGGGAGCAGATGGAGGGAGGGCTACCACTGAGAGTGACCAAAGGAAAGGCCAAAGCATCACCCCCACAGGGCCTTCTCAGGGCCCACAGCAGGAGCCAGTCCAGAGGGAGAAGGGGAAGGGGTCCAGCAGACAAAGCTGATGGAAGGGAAGGCTGGGGCGGGGCACAGCATTTAAGGTAAGATCTGTAGAAACAAAGCGGGGGAACCTTGGAGAGCCAAGTCCAAGCTGGCAACCAAAAGGGCGTTGTTTTCCAAACCCCCATTGGAAAGTTTGAAAAATACACATGGAAACGTGACTCACCACCCCCTCCCCTGCCCCCCTTTCCTGGTTTATGTGATTTTTCTCCCAAGAGTTAATTCAAATCATATTCTCACAGAAGCCAGATTTAATGAGGGAGGGTGAGGGCTGAAGGAGGCAGAGAGGCGCCTGAGGGAAGGATCTGGAAATGAAGATGTTTGCTGGGGCTAGGTGGCAAGGATACAGATGTTTGGTGATTCCTGCAAGTGTGAAGCCTCTTGGGATGGCAGAGAACTCAACTTCCAGCCACTTAGCCACTCCAACTAAGGGTAGAAGTAGGACACTCGGGCCTCCCCAGTGGCGCAGTGGGTTGAGCACTGCGCTGTGAAGCCGTCCGCAGCCTCTGCAGCACGGGTTCGATTCCGGCTGTCCAGGAAGAAACCCACATGGCACAGCAGACCTCTCCTGAGTCGCCCGCTGCTCCCCTCAGCAGTGTGTTTCAGTCAGTCTGCTTGTTCTGTTCCCCATTCTGTCTCTGGTGAATTCTCTCACCCCCCACACACACATCTGGCCTGTACCCCAGTTCTTGTATGCATAAATAAATCTTAAAAAAAATAATAGGGCCTCCCCTGGTGACGCAGTGGTTCAGCGCTGGGCTGCGAGCCTGCCCACAGCCTCTGCAGCGCTGGTTCATTCCCCAGCCACCGACAAGGGTCCCACAAAAAAAAAAAAATAATAATAATAATAAAGAAGTAGGACACTCAGTCACACCACCACCACCAAAGCTGCAGTCTCCCCCTGCACCCTGCTGCCCAGAAAGCCTGTCTTCAGGTTGCTTCCCTGGAACCAGTTCCCTGGGCCACAACTGAGGCCAGAGGCCAGGAGGTGGGAATGGAGGTGGAGCTCCCCAGCCTCCACGTTCCCTCCCTAAACATGTGTCCTAGAGCTTCACGTGGACATAGCCTTCCCTTTGGGGCTGGGAAGGATCCAGGCAGGCCTGTCCTATGGGTGTCTCTGGGCCAGGAACTCCTAGTCTCTGGCAGAGAGGCCAGGGAAAGGGAGAGCCTGACACTGGGCCAAGGGTGAGTGACCCTTCTATTCCTGAAAGTCCGTGGAGAACTGCAAGCATTTCCAGCCAGAATGATCCCCAGCTTCCATACCCGCCATCCCTCCTTCTTGGATGCCCCAGATGGAGTTCTTCAGGTACCCCTAACAGTACCCCAGCTCCACTCTGTGCCTTCCTCAACCTCACCCCCTCCATCTCCCTTGACTAGTGAGCCCCCAAGTCCTGGGGATCTTACCTCCAGGATCTCTGCCTTCTGTTCACCACCTCTAGCTCCCTGGTTCTGACCACCCTGAATCCTCACCTGCAGGGACCTGCCAGCCAGCCTCCCTGCCTCCACTTTTGCTTCTGCTCCCATCCTTTCTCCTCCCTAAACCACAGCCATCTTGCCAAAATGTAAGCCTTGGCATGTCTCCACAAGACTTCAAACTAGAGCCTCCCTGATGGCGCAAGGGGTTAAGACACAACCTATGAAGCTATCTGCAACCTTTGCAGCACAAGTTCGATCTCCGGCCAGCCAGAGAGCAACACATATGGCGCAGCAGACCTCTCTTGACTCGCCTGCTGCTCCCCTCAGCAGTGTACTTTGGTCAATCTGCCTGTTCTGCTCCCCACTCTGTCTGTGGTGAACCCTCTCACCCTCCACACCTCTGGCCTGTACCCCAGCTCTTGTATGCATAAATAAATCTTTAAAAAAAAAAAAAAGACTTCAAACTAACAGTACACCCATGCTGTATTCTGGAAAAAGTCCAGATTCCTTGACCGGGTCTGTAAAGTCCTCAACGACCTGGGCTCTGCTTGGATCTCCAGCCCCATCACCCTCATGGCTGGCAGTGTAGATTCTAGCAATTCCAGCTTCTCATTTCTTCTAAGCTAACCTTTCTCAGGCTTTGCCCTGTGACCAACTCCTTCTCTTTCAGGCTCAGCTGAAAGTGCCATTGCGTCTGGGCTGAACTCCCAACACCGCTGCAGTGACACTGTGTAAGCCTCTGTCTTCCCCATTAGGGGAACTCCTGGAGGGTAAGGTAGTGGGGGTGGGGTCCTCTGCTCCCAGCACCTGGCAGGGGCCTGGCCCTTGCAGTGCTGTCAATTCCTGTTGGAGCCGAGCATCTCCCCAGACCTCCATCGAGAACCAGTGTTCTCTGCTTCTCCCTCTACCTTTCCACACACCCCACTCTCCAACTCCTAATTCTAGCCTTGCCGACCTCCCACGTGCCCCTCACTGCCTTCCTTTGTGGGAGTTCCCTGTTGTTCTGCAACTGGCTTCTCTGAGCCTCCAGTCGGGACATGGTAACAACACTGAGGGCAAAGCCGCTATTGTGAGAGCGGCAGGGCCTATGCTAGGTGCTTTCCTTTTATTAGCTCATTTGATACCCAAAAGAGGTTAGCGCAAAGGTCTCCTTCTTTGCCAGTTCGGGAAAGATTCTCCAGGAGATTATCACTCCATAGTCCTGTATGTAAAAGATATGGGGTACAGGCTAGGCCCTCGATAAATGTTTATCAAGAGGAGGGATGGTATAATTGCCTGCCTTTTTTTTTTAATATTTTTTATGAGAGGTTTTTATTGTTTATTGCCTACCTTTATAGCAGGTCCTATCACTAGTGAACCATTATCTCTGGCAACCCTGGGAGGTGAACATGGCAAGGTCATTATTTTCATTTTATAGAGGAGCTGATCTGAGCGGGGAGGGATCTGCTTCCGGCTGCACAGGGGCTCTTATCAAACTGCAGCCAGAGGCACCTGTGGGGTATGGAACAGAGAGCTGCTCTGCCCCAGGGGTCTCGGGGGTACTGGTGGGGTTTTCAAGAGTCAGGGCTTCGTGGAACCTTCCAGGCCATCCACTGTGATTTCAATCCTCACTGAGCATCAACGTTGCTGGGGAGCGGGGCTTTCTACACTACCAACATCCAAAGTCTCAGATATTTTGATTCAATAACTGGTCTGGGGTGAGACCCAGGTATCTTTTCACATTTTTCAGTAAACACCAACACCATTTCAGGCTATCATTTAACAGATGAAGAAGCTGAGGTACAGAGTGGGAATTCTAACCCCAGCTAACCCTTAGAGATTACAATACTGGACAGTGTTCTAAAAAGTGCAGGTGTGGCCTGTACCTGCTCCTTTCCAGAGCCCTACACGTGAGAGGTTGTTATCATCAGCTCCATTTTGCTGGTGAGAAAACAAAGTACAATGGGTCTAAGGTCACATAGCTATTTAGTGGTAAACCTGGAATTTAGTGGTAAAGACTTCACTTTGAAGTCTCTGGGCCCTGACCCCATACCTGTCAACTTCAAAGGTGCAAAGGAGTTAGTGGTGGTGCCAGGCCCAGATCCCAAGTCTCTGATGAGTAGAAAGGTGTGAAAACCAGAAAGCCAGTGAGAGGGGGTAAACTGAGGTCAGAGAAGCCGAGGGCAGGTGAGAGATCTAGAGATTCCTGGTCCCCATACTGACAGTTGGGTGGTGAGGGACTCACAGGGGGGCAACCTCCCCTGGGACCCACTTCACCTGCATGCTTCCCTCCCCTCTGAAAGGGGAGCCCAGACCATCCCCAGCTGAGCTATCACCCCCACCCCTGCTAATTGACACATTCTTCTAATTGCTGATCACAAGGAGGCAATTAAGCCCAATTAGGGAGCAATAGCTAATTAGTACTCAGTTTCCCACAGCCTCTGGGCACCCCTGGGGTCTGCAGAAACTGCTGCCCACCTTCCCCAATCCCCAGGGAAGATAATTGTTGCTTGTGTAGAGTATGTGGAAACTTCCTACTCCTTCCTTGCTTTCCTAAGGATCAAAGTTATTAAGCACCTTAGCTTCTCACCTCTGCCCTGCAAGACAGCTCTGTCTCCCAGTTCCCTTAGGCATATTTGCCTTCCCTGACAACCAAGAACATTCACACCACAATTCACCATCATCCATCCACCATCCAACCACCACAATTTACAATTCATCCTCCCTGCAACCCTGAAGTTAGAGTACCCCACACATCAACGGGGCTCAGAGAGGTTAAGTGATTTGCCTGAGATCACACAGCCCACTATAACCCCAGATTTTGTTCCCCTGACAAAGATCTGTAAGTCTTCCCAATGACCTCACCTCAGTTATTCCTGGTGTAACAAGGTGGATGGGTGGAGCACGAAGTACATGCCTTCTTTTCAGGTGTAATACTTGGAAACGGGACAACACCAGGTTACTCCATTGTGGTCTTTCCCTCAGGTTCATCTGCCTGACTCCATTTCCAGAATCAGGAACCCAGAGCCAAATCCAAGTTCTTTCAGGGATCACTGAACTCAGAGCCAGGAGTTAAGGGATCTAGTTCTCTCTTCCACTAAGTCACTGTGACCTTGGAGAAATTGCTTCGCTTCTATGAGCCTCAGTTTCCTCACTTCAGGAGCAAAACAAGCTTAGACTGGAAGATTTCTTAGGCCCGTCTACCCTCCTTCCCTTCTGTTGCTGAGGAAGAAGAGATGGTAAAAGGCTGGGCATGCCATAGGGGACTGGGAGTAGGGCGGGGACACCCCTCTCATACTGAAATTGTGGGAGCCCCATGGCTAAACCTGTCAGAGGTTGGGAACTCCCAGGCTTCCAGCAGGGACTGGGGGTGAGGATCGAGTGACAGGCATGATGATGTCTGTCTCACATACACACTCCTGCCCTGGGACTAGGGCAGAACAGAGAAAATGACGGGGGTGTTG